CCTACCCCACCATTCTTGGGGTAAACATGAGCTCTGTCTCTAGCTCTCAGTAAGGATTCCTGAGAATGCAGGCGTGAGGGGCGGAATCACTTGAAAAATCGTATTCCGGTCGAACTCAGGAAACTACTCAACTTACCAAATTAAAAATTAATAACCTACTTCAATACCTCAGAAGAACTTATGTGAGGCCGAGGGTCCCATTCTCTGTTACGCATCTGTTATGCAGTATATGCCTTAAGTTTTAGAAACAAATCCCTGTCTCCTGGGATAATTGCCTCAGGTTTTTGTAGCCCATCTCTAGCTGGGGCCTGGTAACACCACTGAAATTAATTTGATAATATCAAAAATCTAGGTTAAAAGCTTTCTATTTAATAGGGCTTCCGTGGTGGCGCAGTGGTTAAGAATCTGCCTGCCAGTGCAGGGGACATGGGTTCGAGCCCTGGTCCGGGAAGATCCCACATGCTGTGGAGTAACTAAGCTCGTGTGCCCCAACTACTGAGCCTACAATCTAGAGCCCGCGAGCTGCAACTACTGAAGCCCACGTGCCTAGAGCCCGTGCTCCACAACAAGAGAAGCCATCGTAATGAGAAGCCCGCACACCGCAACGAAGAGTAGCCCCTGCTCGCAGCAACTAGAGAAAGCCCACAAATAGCAACAAAGACCAAACACAGCCAAAAATAAATTAAATAAATTAAAAAAATAAAACACCACTTTATAGCAGTACACCATATATACTCAATAAATATGTTTTAAAAAAAACAGCTTTCTATTACTGTACTGTACAGCCTGTTTTTCGTGGGGTACCCTAATCTTTTATTGAGTATCCTAAACTCTTTGGGTATCCTGACAGATTAACACAAATTGTGATCTATTCCATTTTTGAAAGAAAATCAATTATTTGCCGTACAGATCCGTTAATACGTTGGGCATTCCTTTAAAAAGTTGTTCTATTTGGTCCTCAGAAGCCTTTGGGTCTAGATCAGTCTAATTTTGACTAGAATGTATGGACAGAGATTTTTTGTCTCTTGTTCGCTGATGTGTCTCCAGCTTCTAGAGTAGTGCCTAGCACATAGTTCATATGCAAATGTTGGTTTAATGAATGGCAAATGAGTTTCAAAAACCACTATTACTACCACTATTTTGACACTGTGACCTTTTGGAGAAATTAGCAAAAAATAACATAACATTTATCTTCATCTAACTGCTTTTTGCCTCGTACAAGAATGCTGGAATAGTCTCAGGAGAAAATTGATCTGGGTCTATATGGCAAAAATAGTTTGTTGTCAAACCTGTAATCCTTATTTGGTAAAATATTAGTAAGTATGAGAAGTCAGTGTTCAGTTAGCTGAAGGAACGTTTCTCAGCTAGCTGCTGACAGGCACATTGGGGAAGTTGCCTCTTGTTCAGAATCAAACTTTCCAAGATCCTTATGGATACTTTCTTGCCTCCCCTTTGCTATAGTTTATTTAGGTTCAGTTTTATTGACCTTAAAGTCATCTTTGTTGTGAGCCACTTCGAATATTTTTAGGAAAGTGATAGTCTGTGTAACATTTTGTGTTTCAGAAGTCACCTAGTAAATATGAACACTTAAAACCAGGAATCAAAACTGGAAAGTGGAGAGGCTATTGCCTCATTTTAACAAATAAGGATTATGTCATAGGCAGAAGCAAGAATGGGGAGAAATCAAGAAAGATATTTTCATTAATGAGCAAAAAAGTGAAGTACAGTGGAGAAAACTATTCTAGAGAGAAATTTTATAAAGTCCTTCTATCTAACTATTGTTCTATCCTAACACTTCTGAAGACTTTATCTCTACCATATAAAAGAGCAGTCAGCCAGGCTGCATTCTTGGTCATAGTGCAAAATTCCAGGAAGGGAATTTTGCCCAGCTTGAATCAAGGACTGGCCCTTATGACTCCAATGAGTGAGGAAGGAGAGAGATGATATTGCATGAATATAGCTGCTATCTCTACACCCAAGTGGTTTGGGAGGTTCAGTAGAACATTTCCTAGAAAAGGGGTGCTGAAAATAAAGGTGTCCTCTACAGTACACCTTAAAAGATAATCTAGTCCCAAAAAGTCTGAAAATATGACATTGGCAAGATGTCGACTAATGGAAACTCTTACTTAAAACTGGTAAAACTACCCGGGAAATAAATTTAGCACTGATAACCTTGTACAGTTGAAACTGTGTGTACTCTAAAACCCATCAGTTTCACTTTAAAGCATTTATGCTTTAAACTACATGAGTGCACCATGGGGCATACATATATAAACAGAAGTATTGTAGTATTCAAAATATTTGACTTTAATACATGGGCACTGACCAGACACCAACTCATCAGAGCCTGTGCAAGCTATAAATAACTAATTTGGCTTTACACAGGCATAGCAGCTGATAACCAGGTCTGTGCATGGGAATACTCAGAGCATTCATAGCAAAAAATAACACAAGTGACTTGACAGAAGCATTGATTCATTATGGTATATTTACAGAATAATCCTACACAGGAATGAAAATGATTTACTATCATTCATTAGTGTGTCTAAATCTTGAAACTATGAAGAATACAAAGAGTATTAAGTTTTCAAACAAGATTTGTGTTTAAGAATACGGTAAATCTAAAAAGAAAATGGAATGGGGGAATTAATTCCCTGGCGGTCCAGTGACTAGGACTCGGCACTTTCAATCCCTGGTGGGGGAACTAAGATCCTGTAAGTTGGGGAGGGGAGGATGGGAAAAACAAAAGCCACTTCTTCTGGGAAGTAAGGGGAGGGGGAGGAGGAGCATACAGAATCTCAACAGTATTGTTTAATGTTCTATTCCTTGGATCTTAGGTTCATGCTTTTTGGGTGGGCAGTGGCTTCTTGAGGTTTTGTTTTATGCTAAGCTTGCATATATGTTACTAATATTCTTTTGTACATATCAAATATTTCATTTTTTTATAAATTTATATGCAATCCCATTTATGGAAAAGAGGCCTAGCTTATTTTTTTTTTGCGGTACGCGGGCCTCTCACTGTTGTGGCCTCTCCCGTTGCAGAGCACAAGCTCCAGACGCGCAGGCTCAGTGGCCATGGCTCAAGGGCCCAGCCGCTCCGTGACATGTGGGATCTTCCCGGACCGGGGCACGAACCCGTGTCCCCTGCATCGGCAGGCAGACTCTCAACCACTGCGCCACCAGGGAAGCCCGAGGCCTAACTTTTGATTTAAAGTGAGAGACATGCAACTCTTCCTTTCACTTGAACCCTTAGGAGCCACTATAAGGTTATTAATTGGCCTGATTTCAATTTCGTTGTGTCTCAGGGAATAGGCCTGAGGAAAGGGGGTGAGACAAGAGAATGGCCAGTTAGTGGAGCAATCAAAACACACATTTATAGATGCATTAAGTTTGCTTTTATGGCCTCCGTTTGTGGTATCCCAAAATGATTACAATAGTAACATCAAAGATCACTGATCATGGATCACCATAACAAATATAATAATAATGAAAATGTGTGTAATATTGCAAGAATTACCCAAATGTGACAGACATGAAGTGGGAAAATGCTGCTGGAAAAGTGGCGCTAATAGATTTGCTCTACGCAGGGTTGCCATAAACCTTCAATCTGTAAAAAATGTAGTATCTGCGAAGCACAATAAAACAAAGCAGTATGCCTGTAGTAGTCATTCATTGTTCAGTAAACATTCTGTGTACTCAAGGCTGGAAATTAGTAATCACAGTAAACCCTGATACCTTGCGGAAAATAGAACCACCAGGGAAA